TGTAAATTATCGGGGTTTAATTTTAAAAGAAAATTAATCCCAGGCCTATTTGAGCAGATAAGAGTAAATTATCTCTTATCTATCAGATAATGATAGATAGAGTCTTGTGTGATGAGAAGTCTTATCGTTTGATTTTGAATCAGACAAGAAGACTCATCATTCTATCTTATTATCTCTCTCTCTCCTTTTAACTCCTAAGGGAGAGATAGAGGATGGTTTTGAGAGGGTGAAGGTAACAAAAAGGAAAAAGGGAGATCTGTGAGTCACATACTTCGAATAAGAGCAAGAAGGGCTAGCAACTTTTTCTTGCTCTTCAATACATAGTTCGTGAGACGACCAGGGTTGCTCTAGCGTGGATATCAGTAGAGGCAGGACGACTGGACTGCTCAAGGGCTGACCATCCTCAACAACGCTACAGGGAGACGCGCAAGATTAAGGTAATCCTATAACCCTACTTTTATGCATCATACGTAAAATCTAGGGTGATTCCAGGATAGTTTTAGGGAAAAATTTTTATTTTTCCACTGCATAGTGTCCCTAAAAGCTAACATCTTCAGCTAAACCTGTCTCAATCATGAAAGTCCAAGTCAGGAGAGGATCCAAATTTGCCTTCACTTGTCACAGACAATCCAATAATTATTGAAACGCATAGCTTGTTAAAGTTTAATACAACAATGACTATAGGAATCGTTCTATCAGTATCTAATAATGGTAAGAAGCAGAGTTTTAAAACTCAGCTCGGGCTGCTCAATCGAACCGGTTGAACCGTCAATCTAGTTGCTGTTCGAGCTGGCTGACGTCCAACCCTGGAATGGTTCAAAAACACCGCTTTAGAAATTAAATGTTGTAGTAAAATAGTTAACTCGTCCGGTATTGACTGTTCATCTGATGAATTGAAACGGTTTTTATATACCTGGCAACTGGGCGGGTTGACGGGTTTTGGAGGGTTGATGTTGGTTTTTATTTAAATGATTATACCCAATCCGCCCAATATTAGGTTGGGTTAATTTTGGGTTGGGTCATATTGGGTTATCTCAAACCCATGACCCAAATATGACCCAATATATTAAATAATAGATTTTGATACATTAACTCTCTCAAATATATTTTCACATACAAAAAAAAATTTCACACACATAAATATATTTTCACATAGAAAGATATATTTTCACACACTAAACACTCACAGATACAAACACACACTCACTTTTTAAGTTCTTTTGAAATACGTTATTTTACACATACAAACACACTAAAAAATACACTAATATACTTTTACAAATACACACACATACTAACTGTTTAAACTACTTGGATCCAATCACACTTTAAAGAAAGTTATAAACTGAAATTTTGATCCAAAAAATAAATACAAAAGAATCATGCATGATAACACATCTGAGCCGTTGTAAAATGGAGAAATTAGAAATTAGAAATAAACACAAAATGAATCATGTTGCGTCCTAAAAGATAACTTCCGAATTTGCATATGAAATTTATTTTGAATACATCATGAGTAGAATTTGGCATTTGATCCTCCGTTCAACATTTTTTGTGTTATACTCCATATTACGCCATATATCCTTCACGATTACTTGGTCATTCCTATGATCCTTATTATGGGTGTCACCTAATTCATAGTGTAACGTGAAATATAATTCTAGTAAAAGTTTAACGAAAAATGCCAAGACTTAAATTATTCTTCTCTTATTCAAGAAAAAACTTTAATCCGCTTGAGAGTCAAATTTGATGCTAACTAGAAATCTGGGTAGTAATATTTATAATTTGACAAACTAGAGAAGACAATAGTATAAGAACAAGTTTTACATCTCTGTCAAATGAAAGTGGAAGTTGGTAATGGGTACCCAACACAATACCATTCCGCTCAAATATATTTGGTTTTTATTACCCAACCCAAAATTGATCCAACACCAAATTACCCAACCCAACATCTGAAATTAGTGGGTGGGTTGGGTGGATTGTTGGGTTTTGAGCATAATTGCCAGGTATAGTTTTTATTAAACATTTATGCCTAGTTGACTCGTCCGGTATTGACTCGTTCGGTTCTTCACTTGAACATTTATGCCTAGTTGTTTAATGCAGTCAAGTAGCCTTATTTGTCTGGGACATTTAATGTGAGATGGACAGCTGGGTATGTTTTCGTCGTAATATGCATCTTTTTGCTTTAACTTCTTTAATTCTTTTGAGTTTCCTTGTGTACCTACTTTTTTGCATCATTATGTTTTTTGTCATTTTACTTTTTTGAAATTATATTTTAGCTCTAAATCATTTAGGAATTTCAATTGTTATATAATTTCATGTTTCTTATCCAAAAACTCATTTTAAATTTGATCTTCTTTTTTTTTTTTGGTAAGTGGGAGACTTTAAATCCAAGACCTCCTATTTACTCCCTCCATCCCACTTTGATAGTCCTGTTTTCCTTTTTTTCTGTCCCAAATTGTAGTCCACTCTCCACTTGAAGAATGTAGTTGTATTTTAATTTTCCTAAAATACCCTTATTCAATGTAAGTTGTTGTTATTATAAACCAACCACATTTAATGAGAGTTGACTCTTTTTTTACCATCAATTCAAGTTCCTATAAAGTTGTACTCTATTTAATGTGAGGATATTTTAGGAAAATAGCACTCTAAATTTATTTTTCCAACAAAATTAACTATTTTTTTCTTAAATTGTGTGAAAAAAGAAACATGACTATCAAAATGGGACGGAGGGAGTATAATTTTTCCCACTTTCTCAATTGATCAATGATGGATCATAATACTTAATACTTTATTTTACTTTTTTATAGAAAGAATTTAATTTTTAATTCAATACATTAACCAAGTGTGTGCGTATATATATATATATATATATATATATATATATATATATAGGTCACTTTTTTAGACTATACAATAATAAAAGTAATATATTACTCCGTCCACCTTGAAAAGATTGTCGCTTTTTGAGAGGATGTTTTTATCAACAGGGAAAGAAATTTAATCAATTTTGTACTATTTTTCTACTAGACACTTGACACTTGAACAGTTAAGACAATAGCCTAAGAACAATTGATGTCATCCTACGTGAAGAAAAGACCAATTCACACTAAATAAGAACAAAAGAGTAATTATACTCGTACTTAGGTCCTGTTTGATAATCTAATTCAACACTTAAATTTAACGGATTCAGACCTTGATATGGTCAGACACGTTTAATAATAAAAAATTAAACATTTGAATTAATTAAGTTGCACTGAATTTTCGAAACGAAATTTTTTTCAAAATTAAATGATAAGCTATTCACTTATCACTTAATGTGATATACACTCAAATCTATTAGATTTAATACTTAATAATTCAATATTTTAATGGATTCAAATTTCAGATTTAAGTTTTCGAACTTCACCTTTATCAAACGCACCTTTAATGTTACATTTGTATTGACTCTAATCTAAAAAGATTATCTTGCCCACAAGAAGGTGGTCAAAATTTAAAGAAAAGTTTAACCTAAAAACTAGCTTAATATTATAGTATAAGGATATTTACTATTTTGGTAGACACGTGATACTCCACCATGGTAATTTCTGTAGTGTATTCACAAAGTTCGAAGACAGGTGTGGAAAGCAAATAATATGGCAAAGAAGCCTCCACGTTGCAACCTGACAAGTACGGATGACGAAAGGGAATAATTCTAGAAAAGGAAGTGATGACCTATAACCGCGGTTTGGACATTGGAAATGTAGCGTACTGTACAAGCTGGAAATGCATTGGGGTGAAATGGAATTAACATAAATATAATGGGCTAAGGAGTAAAAATAAACCAGTTAACTTTATTAAAACAACCCAAATTTTCAACTCTTTCGTCCATAATAACAACGGAAGTACCATTTTCCTTGAATACAAATGTTAGTGATCGCACAATATCATATTCAAATGCATTTTTGAATAAAGAGCCAACTCTTTATGGCTTTCCTGCACTACAACTAAAGATTAAATCCATTTTGAGAACCATTATTATATTCAAACGGGTGTCTTAGTTTAAAAGTTTCAGCTCCCTTTGGTTTTCTTCCATTATAACAACATAATACCGAAGGTGGCATAAAGATAGACTGATTTATCGGATAAAATAAAATTAGACCCGTTGGTGAGTAAAAGACCAGTTCTTTGTACCTTTCAACCATTACAGTGACAGAGTACCCGTGCCTTATATACAAATGTTGGGTTATGGGATAAAATTTAGTTAAAACGGTTGCCTTATAAACGACCAGCTCTTTACGGCTTTCGTCCATCAGACAGGAGAACCAATTTGCTTGAATACAAAATTATTTATCAGAAAGCATAAAAATTAACACGCCGGTGTCGGTTCTGTTGTTATAAAACATCGAAACGAAGCGTAAGCCAGTACTAAACAAAGCCATGCTGGGGCCACCGAAGAGGAAGCGTATTAGGTACTAAACACACAGCCATGTTGGGGCCCGCAGTGATGCGTGTGTTTGAAGACAGGTGGTGAGGTCGGAATCGAAGGCAAAAATTTGGTAAAGAAGAAGTCAAGGCGGAATAGTCAGAGGTGGTGTCTAGTGGCCTAAATTCAGGCGCAGGCGGTGACGGTAAATATATCTGAGGAAGGGCCTTCCGAAGCTGTGGTGACAGAATGCAGCGGCGTGGAACAGAAGCAGAGAAATCAAAGGTGAGTACTTTTGTCCATAACTTTGAAAATACATGTCGATAGTGGTATTTTGTGCTAAAGGTTGATATAATTGCATCAGCCACACTTATAAAAACTGTGTATATGAATGTTAGAGTAATGTTTATCGTCTGTATTATGTAAAAGTTGTGAGATAAAGTATGGTTTATTAACTGAAATGATCGTGTATATATGTTTTGTTCCATTAGTAGACGATCAGTATTTATGTTACAAACGAAAGCATATGGGGAGGCTGAAAAAAAATGTTAAGTGGTTAGAAAAAACATTGAACAACCATACAGGGGTTGTAACTATGGGGCAGGATGGGGCGCTTAAAACTCATGACATGGTGCAGGAAACAGAGAACGGAAAAATGGGGATGGATGGTTGCAGCAGGTTAAGGTCATTTGACCTTAACCAAGAACCTGAGTGTGACCGAGACACATTCATTGAAGAAATCGGTGGTTCAATAGGAGGACACGAAGATGAGGAGGCAGATGAATTGGTGGGCGCAATAGGCATGGATGACGTAATGAAATTAACATTTGACACGGAAGAAGAAGCTGGGGAATTCTATAATTTGTATGCGAAACTAAGCGGATTTGGGATTCGTAAAAGTAATGCCAAACAAGATGCAGATGGCATTTCAAGATTTAGAAAATGGGTATGTTGCTGTGAAGGTTATAGGAATGAAAAGTGGTTTAATTATGAAGACCGGAAAAGAGAAACAAAACCAATCACAAGAACCGGGTGTGGGGCTCGCTTTCGCGTGAAATATGACATAGAATCGGTAAAGTATGTGGTGACACGTTTCATTATGGAGCACAATCACCCGCTGGCATCAGAGGCAAGTGTGCAACACATTAGGTGGCATAGAAAAGTGAACGATGCAGAATATGCGCAGGCAAAAAGTCTAAAGTTGGCTGGGACTAGAATATGCCAGATAATGAAACATTTTGTTATCAAACCCGGAGGGTATAGTAACGTGGGATTTTGCATTAAAGATCTGTATAACCGAATGGACGAGGAACGTAGAAAAGATATTTTTAATGGCGATGCAGAAGGGGCACTTGGGTTCTTGGCAGCGAAGAAGGATGCCGATGACATGTTCTTTTATAAATATCATGTAGATAACGAAGGAAGATTGGCAAGGTTGTTTTGGGCAGATTCTAAATCTCGTGCGGACTTCAGTGTATTTGGAGATGTATTGGTATTTGATACAACATACAAAACAAATAAATACCGCAAGCCACTAGTTGTACTTGCAGGGGTAAACAACCATTTGAACAGTACTGTTTTTGGCTGTGCACTGCTATCAGATGAGAGGATTGAAACATATGAATGGGTGCTAAGTACATTTGTAGAGACTATGAAAGGTAGAAGGCCAGTAGCAGTGATGACGAAATGCATGCTTCTGGGTTCCTGTTCATTCCTTCTACCACCATTACGTGAAACATGTGAGCACAAGGAATCCCCTTTGACTCGAATTTCATGCAAGAGCATATTAGCTTCTCCATTGACCTATCATAATCCACCCTCCAACTTATTTCGTGTCCACCATATTTCGAGTAATAATATGTACGACTCCCTCCATCCTCGTTCCAGCCCTCAGAAATTAGAAGTCCTTGCCTGTTCAAATGCTTCCTCACCATAAAGAACACATTCCTTGTAAACACCTCCGCTGCACTTCCCTCTAATTCGGGCAGGATTGTGGTTAAGACTGGTTTTGTATTTTCGCTTGTGTGAACTGCTTTGCTCTCAGTATGTCGAAGTCATGCTATTGCCAAATCAAAACTTCTAACGAATTCATATAGTCGCATTTTTTCATTCAAGTACTCATTCAAAAAAACATTCATTTTCTCACACCTTTGAGTACTTCTCATAGCTGCAAAAAAATGACCGCGTAAATAGGCCTCTGGCCCATAACCTTCTCTACGGTACAACTTCTTCACCCACTCATTCTCTACCACCCCACATTCATTAACTCAACCTAGCCCACCGATCTCAAACTCAAGAGTGCTACACTTTCTCGCCATCAGGTTATACAACTGTTATTAAACTCCTCGCAGCGAATATTACTCTGTGCATTTCTATGCAAGTGCCACGAACATAGCCTGTGACAAGCATCCGGGAGAATATTCTTAGTGGACCAAGGGAATTTACTGTACTAATAATGGAATGAAAGCATTTGTTGCAGACGAACGGCTGACACAAATGGCCAGATATGGCACTTTAAAGTCCAGCTGTAATACTATGTGTTACTATGCGTCCTACATGGATGATGCGTTTAATGATCTGCAGCAGATGTTTGACAAGCATTCTGTGGACCTAAAGGAGAAGTGGATTGACAGGGGATATGGGGGAGACGAATTTGCAATGATTCAAGAGTGAGGAACGATAGAAGTAGAAGAACATTTGGCTGTTAGATCCCAGGGTGTCTCGGTCTAAAGGTGATCACAAGCATGCAGAAGCAAAGAAGAAAAGAAAGTGTGGTCATTGCAGGTACTATTGGAATTGCATACGTAGTTATACAGTAGTTAATTGATAAAATACATGAAGTGGACAGTGAAGTAATAATGAAGAAGTGGGTATTTTTCGTTCTTATTATCAACAGTAGCAAATAAACACATAATTAAAAGTGCATACAAAGTATACAAAGTTTTTGTAATGCAAGAAAGTTGAAGTGGTGTAATGTTAGCATTGTGCTTAATTGACGTGATTACTTGTAGTCACAAATTATTTGACATGTGATATATGGATTTAAGATTGCAGGCAGGCCACAACCAACGAACATGCCCATACAAAAAGAATTCGCACAACACAGCAGTTCATGATGATTATATGAAAAATTGTTTGGATGACTCGCTGGAAAAATCATTTGAAATTGGTACGGGCTGGAGCGACCAGGCGAATGGAGAGAACAAGCATTTGTACCACAACCATTCGGTAGCGGTGGAAGGGACACAGGTGGCCAACAAAGAAGTCCAGGAGAAAGATGAGGCACTACTGTTGTGATGCTTCGGTTTGCAGTTACGCAATAAATAAGGTAGGTTTTGGTGAGTAGAGGTGCAAGAGTAGTCTTTCATGAAACAAGTACAAAATTGTAGAAGGGGAACGGTTTGTATTTTCCTTCACATTAATTTGTTTTGAGCATGAGAAGGCTACAAGGTATTCATGAATGCGGGGAATACTGGGTACAGGTTGTAGTGGTGTTTAAAAAAATTTGATTCCGTTACCATTGAAGTGTAAATAATGTAAGTTTGAATGTGTCATGGCCATTGTAAGCTGTTATGACCACAGCCACTCAAAGGTAGTAAACAGTCATTGTACTAATGCAGTACTTGTTGGTAAATGGCTTTGTTGTTCTTATTTCACAGCTGTTGCGTGTGTAAATCCTATTATATATTCTTTTAGGTGTGAAATGCAGAGGTTGAAAGAGATGGTATGGTTGTGCATGGAAATAGCAACCGTGACAACAGACAGGTTACAGAGCAACACCGGCTTGAGGGATTGTCTTTTGTTATGTATCGGTGGGCTGAAGAGTATTCAAGATTTCTAGGTCTAGATGGATAAGTCATTGTAGTTCCACGAAGGGTTATGCACAGAAGGATCACCAGATGCATGACTGTCATGGTTGCGTCGTAAGCACTGCTATAGCAAATAGTGCTACTGCACTTGGTTAATAGGAGAGTAAGTAGTTGACAAATTGTTTATTAGACGAAGCAAACTTGTTACGGTCCTTTTTTGTAAATAGGAAATTAAGTGGAAGCGTATGTTGCGCAAAATCTCTTCGTGGGATAGACGTTTTCCGAAGTGGCTACTTGGGAATCAGCTTCAGTTGCCCAGCTTTGTAAACTGGTGCCTTACGCTGCTGCTATAAACTGCTTTTACGATATGGGCTGTTTGTTCCTCTCCTTGCTATCCTAACCAATAACCGTAAGGCCCAACGCCTTTCTTTTGCCCATCGTTCCATTAAGGTGTAGGAACAGTAACTTCTGTTTCTCCCCATCTATTTTCATTGCTCACAATGCTTATGCGTCTTTTCAGTGCACCAATAACAATGGTATTATATATGTATATTAATTTATGTAATATAATTAATTTTATGAATTATACTAATAATTATACATATTTACTAATAGATATTATTAATTAGTTCGAGTAACTTTACTAATACATTGAACTCATATTCTTGTGTTGGAGTTGCATTCATACAAAAGGCTTTTCTGTCATGATATAAATAAGTTCGAAAAATGTAATGCATTAAATGTGATAGATTTATAGTAACAACAACTTCATTTAAATTGTTTTGTTGTAAATATTTAATTTCACTGCAAACTTCAATTGCAGGTGAAGAACAATCTGGGACAGACGAAAAATAAGAACAGACTATAAATTAGTTGTGGGAAATTTACGGTGACAAATTTTTCTATCAAAGCAGTTAAACGGTACAAATTTAGACAAACAAGTTCAACGTTACCAATTATCTGTCAATGTTAACATTTTCCGTGTTCAAGTTTAAAATTGTATCAGAATTACACAACAGACGTGGCGATTGCTCACAGCTTGGCTTTGTTGGTGGGACTCCCAACTAGTTTGCATGCTCATTCCTCCGGCTACACAACCTTGTTTGCGGTTATGGGCCATGGGTGCTCAGTCTTTGGCATTATGAATTCCCTGACATTCGTGAGCTTTGCCTCTACCAAGTCATCCGTAAATGTCTGCGTCCCGGCACTTGTGTTCGGACGCTTAGAAACACAGGATTCCCGGCCACCAATTCCACCGCGAAGGCAGCGTTTCCCTGCCCCCTTTTGGAGCTTCAATGCACTTTCCAAAATTACCTGTATTTGATGTAGCCTTTGGTCCACCACTTGTGAGTTGTCCGACACATTGGATGCCAAACGAAATATTTCTGCACTTTTTTCTAAGACTTTCTTTCTCAGGCCCATGCACTGAACAAGCAGGTCTCGTACCAGTGTCTAGGCACCTAAGCGGAAACAACACAGATGGCTGTATTAATTTTACACAAATTGCTAAAATTAAATGGCGGTGAAGTACAGGGCGAAGAATGCCATACCACATCACCAACAGCACATGGAAGAGGCAACCCTATTACATCGCCACCAACTCTGTGAATGCCCTCTTGCTCCAGTGATCCATCAGTTTGTATGCACAACACAGACCAGGGAGGGTAATTAATTGGATGTTTCAGTGACGGTGTTGTAGCCTCACTTAGTGGCAACTGGTCACATATATGAATTACGCACTCCTTCCCACTGGGTGGCAACGTGGAGGAAGTCATTGGTTTCATTAGCCTGCTGCGCACAAACTCGTCATACGTAGCATATGGAGGGGGATCTGGGTATAGGCTTGCAATGGGCAGTCCATGAAGCACATCATGTAGCCTGTTTCCCGAAATTGTATCAGTGTGTACATATCTGATGGCCGATGGGGAGGTTGCTTTGCACATACACCTGCATACACCTGCCTAATAACCCTCTCGCCCAGGTAGTAAAATCTTCCCATGGGGCCATCCAAAAGCAATCTCGTTGCAGTTAGTTCCTTGGATTTGAGATACCGACTCGGCAATGCCATTGCAGGGAAGGGCAGCCAGTTGACCTATGACACACAATTAACAAGCGATGTAACATTGGTTTGTTCAACAGGCGGAACAAATTCATAACAACTGTTAACACTTAGGCGGTAGAAACTATTGGATGTCTAAGTACGGGAACTAACGTTTTCCGGGTTAATGGTGTCAATTGCGCGGCGAAAATGTTCGACCGTAGACGGTGATTGTCGGCTGGCTCTATTACATGAGCGCCATCGCCACATTCTGGGCAATACGTCCCTCTCGTCCTGTTTCAGTTTATACGGACTTAACTGAAGAATTTCATAAGCCCACACCTACACGTGGTCGTACAAATTATGTCCAGCGTTCGAGATGAACACTAACTGCACTAAAAAAAAGTTTATGTAACGGAACATGGAAATGTCGAATTGACACAGAGTGAAGGCAATTCTGGACTTACCTCCCAAACGAAGCTGTAGCCGCCAAGGCTTTTCGTCAGGCGTCGGGAGACGGCGGACATAAATCTGTACAAGGTTGCCATCCCCGCCCCTCCCCAGTTATAATCCCCTATACGATCTACGTCCTCCAGCGCAGGCAGACAGCACAGGTGAATTGTTTCGGCCGTGTTGCTAAGTAAAGTGCGGCCAAGCATGTATAGAAAGAAAGCTCTAGTCAGATGTGCCAGCTGGACGCGTCGTCTTCTCGTCAATCGCCTTGTCTTTGTAGAATGACAATATATCGGTAACTCTGATGGCACCGGCAGAAGCAAAAGCTGGCACCCAACCCAATTGCTCCTTGATGTAATTGGCATTTTTCCTAACATTGTAATCCCACGGAATGGGCAAGCCGCCCACTGCAACACCGGTTATACAGGTGAAGTCCAAGGGTGTCAGTGTCATCTCTCCGAAAGGCAAGTGGAAGGAGTTTGTTGAGTCCCACCATCGCTCCGCAAGTGCGACAGGCAACTTCCTATCTCTATCGGCCACGGGCAAGTGGCTCAGAAAATCCCCAAACCCAGCACTAACAACTTTCGCGGCCACCTTACGAGGCAGCCTCTTCCACCACTCCATAATTTCGACTGA